GCTGGGAGGTGCTGGGAGAGTGATGGGGAGGAAGGAGCTGCAGGGATGGGCAGGATCTCCCCAGACATCTCCTGGAGGAAGGATGTCTCCCCTTGGGAGACATCAAGCAGGTCCAGCTGTCAGCGTTGGAAGCCCCCATGGACATGCTGGAGGAGGAAGGGGTTCTCATGCCTGCTGGTTAGAGCAGACCCCCTCCCCTTTGGAAGGCTACAACTTGCCCTGGGGTGCAGTTGCCCAAACTCAGGCACCAGGCACCTCTCAAGACCTCTTGGGCTTCTGCCTGGCCTGGGAGGACTCGTGTCTCCTGGTGTCATGCCATAGCCCTGCTGATACCCCAAGGGCAACTCTTGATGGCACGAGACACCCATGTCCTCATCCCCAAACCCAGCTGTGGAGCTGCCAGCTACCAACCTTCACCCCCTTGCGACAGCAGCCCTGTGGTGCGGCAGCGTTGGCCCCACCGGCTCGGATCAGGAATTCCTCTGCAAACCTAGAGCTCCGCAAGATGGCGGCCATCTCGGCATCCACATCCACTGCCTCTCCTTCCTGGGGACAGAGGGAGGGACTGTCACAGGGCTGGGGTCTGGGATACAGGGCCCAGGGGACCCCAGCCACCCAGTCAGAAAGCGGGTGGCGGGCAAAAGCAAGGGCACAGCCTGACAAAAAGCCTTGAGAAAGACCCATAGTGACCAAGCAGCTGGCTTCAAACCCCCTTGTGAAGCCACCATAGATGCCCTGCTCCTGCCTCCACCCCAATGCAACGCATGGGTTTGGTTATCCCATCCCCAGCCCTATGGACCAGGACTCCTTGGCTTCCTGGGGAGCCTCACCCCGCACCTTGAAGGTGAAGTTGGCGTCAAACACCAGCTCTCGCTCGTGCCCCACGATGCCACCGTTGTAGATGACCTGTCCTGGCCCGGCCCGGCTGCTACCCGGCACCTTGAACAGGCGGAAAGTGGCAGAGACGAAGCGGTAGTCGCCTGCAAGGGAAAGGCTGCTGGGCTGGGGACCGAGCACCCAGGTTGGGAACCCCACGGCTGCCAGGAGCTGAGATCTACTCCTTGGTCGGACCCTCACCAATGATGTCCTCCAGCTCCTTGCAGCCAATGGTGATGGGGCTGGCGGTGACCAGGCAGGGGGGGCTGAACCCCACCTCCTCGGCGATGCTGTACAGGTCTTTCCAGTACAGGGCTCCCGCCAGGCACTCCCCTGGCAGGAGACAACAGACACGGGTGATGGAGGCAAAGGTCTGGTCCCCCCGTCCCATGCCACCCCCATCATAGAATCATAGAATCATAGAGTTGTCCAGGCCAGAAGGGACCTCCAAAGGTCATCTAGTCCCACCCCCCCACAGTCAGCAGGGACACCCCCAACTAGACCAGGTTGCCCAGGGCCTCCTCGAGCCTCACCTTGAATATCTCCAGGGAAGGGGCCTCAACCACCTCCCTGGGCAACCTGTTCCAGTGCTCCATGACCCTCACAGTGAAGAACCCTCTCCTCATCTCCAGTCTAACATCCCAGAGCTCTACGTACCCCACAGCACCTTGTGCTTCCGGATGGCCTCGCTCAGCTGCTGGTTGGAGTAGACATCACTGAAGTACATCTCTCCTCCAGGCTGGAAGGCAGGAAGGAGTGAAGGGAGACCCCGAGAAGCAACAGGACAAAAGGTGGAGGGAGAACTGGGCACCCCCCCAATGCTACCCTGCTCAGGACCCTCTGCAGAGGTGCCCTCCCCTGACCCCATCCTGCACCCCCACCTTGCTGGGTCCCATTTGCTGCCTCCCAGCAGGACCCCAACAGCAGGGCCACCCCGACCCCGCTTCACTCCTGGCACGGGTGCCAGCCCTGGCATTACCTTCAGCACGCGGTAGGCCTCCCGCAGCACGGCCCTCTTGTCAGGAGCCAGGTTGATCACGCAGTTGGAGCTGGGGAGGAGGAGAGCGAAGCTCAGTTGCACCCTCTGGCCTGCTCAGCACCACCAGCTGTTGCACATCCCATCGCTTCACGCAGGATTTGGAGATGCCAACTTGACCACGAAAAGGGCAGTTTCTATATTCCCAGGCTCTAGCCCAGACTCTGCCTCAGGATTTTCCACTTCCTAACATGTGCTCCTGAAGCGAGCGACCCAGTGTGATGCAGACCCAGACCCCAGCCCACGGCCCGGGCAGCTGCAGGACCCGGGGGTGGCAGTGTCCTGCACGGTACCTACATGACAATATCGTAGCTGTCATCAGCCAGCCCGGCATCACCCAGCTTCTCCATGTACCCCTGAAGGAACTCCACGTTTGGCTTTTGGTAGCCGAACTTGTCCATGTGGTAGGCAATGTGCTTCTTCGCCAGCTCCACCTGGGAGGAGGAAGGGAATGAGGGTAAGGGGGGGTGATGGGGGGATGAGGGGAAGCCCTTGCTCCGTGCCATACCTGGCTCTCTGTCATGTCTATCCCGGTGACATGTCCCTGCTCCCCAACCAGCTGGCTCAGCAGGTAGCAGTCTCTGCCGCTGCCGCTGCCCAGGTCCAGGATCCGGCATGATGTCAGGCACTCGGGGATCACCAGGCCGCAGCCATAGTACCTGGGGGGATGCTGAGCTGAGCTGGGTGGAGATGCCCCTACGGTGTGGGGGTCCAGGGGGGCTGCAGCCCACGGGGAGGCAGCAGCAGAGACCCCAGGGTTTACCTGGCCACCACCTCCTCATGGACGTGCTGCAGAGCATCTCTCACCGCCTTGGGAAGGGGCCTGGCCGGGGTGACGCACGCGTTGGTCTTCAGGTCCTCTGACTTCTGCAGCCTTTTGCCATAGTAATCCTGAGAATGAAAGGACAGAGGCCCCAAACTATGGCAAGCTGTGCCCCGGGAGGTCCCCTTGGACCAAAATGTGGGGGCCATGCCTGCGCCCAGCTCGTACATGCCTCTGGTGCCCTCTGGCACTGGCGCTCTCGTTTGCACCCAGCTGAAAATTAGGCTAACATCAAGCCCACCCTCCCCAGCTCCCCTTCCCAGATGTGTTTGTGGAGCAGGGGGTTTTAATTCCCATGTGCAGTTCATTAATCCTGCAGGCTGCAGCCACCATTTCCTCCAGGCAAGAGGGGTGCAGGGAAGAAGGGGCAGGGGAACGTGGGGCTCCCCAGTTCCCCCATCCCTGCAGGAAACTGGAGCAAAGCAGCCGATCGTGCCTAAAGCTTTTATCTGGGCTTCATCATCTGGGCCCCAAAATGAGCTTTGTCCTCTGAGGGCAGGAGGAGCCCTGGGCTCAGCCGGGAGGGGGGACACCCAGCCACCCTGTCCCCCCCCCAGCAGCTCCCCTCACCTGCACCTCCCGGTGGATCTGCTCTCCGCAGGGGGCTGCCACTGCAACGGGAACGAAGTGGGAGGCTGGGGCCTGACACCACGGCAATGGGCACCACCCCAGGCCCTCCTGAAAGCCCTGAACCCCCTTCTCTCCCCCCAAATACAGGAGCACCTTTTTGCCCCGCCTCCCAGGCAGTGCCCAGAGAGACCCCCCCCACCCCCCAAACTTGCAGCCCAGTGGGATGCCCTCGGGGGCACCTGACAACGTCCCCACTCCCCAAAATCCCCAGTCCCAGCTGCCCTGCAGGGCCGACCCCCCCAAACTTCCCCGTAGGGCAGATCCCCCTCCCTCCCTCCCCCTTCGCAGGGAGCTCTAAGGCCCCGGGGGTGCCCCCCGGGGAGACCCCAGCCCCCCGCTGTCCGTACTGCCTCACGGCCTCCGCCTGCGGCTCCTCGGACGGACTCTGACCTCCCGGGGCCCCGCTCCGCCCCCGCAGCGCGCTCCGCCCCGGTACCGTGCCCGGCCTCGGCCCCCATTTCCGCCCCGGTACTCCGCTCCGATATCCCGCTCTGCCCCGGTACCGTGCCCAGTCCTCGGCCCCCTTCTCCGCCCCAGTACCCCGCTCCGCCCCGGTACCGTGCCCGGCCTCGGCCTCTATGTCCGCCCCGGCACCCCGCTACTCCCCGGTACCCCGCCTGGTCCCGGTACCCCCCTCCGCCTCCGCACCCCCCCCGGTCCCCGTACCCCGCTC